TGTGGGGCCTTTGGGCGGGGGGGGGGGGGGGTGTGTGCAGGAGGCAGCTGATTGATGTTTCTCCCTCATCGATGTTTCTGTCTCTCTATCCCTCTCCCTTCCTCTCTGTAAAAAAATCAATAAAATATTTTTTTAAAGGAAAAAGAAGAAAAAGGTCTGTGCAAGTGCTGAAGGTGTATACAGGTTGATGACAGAAGGAAATAATATTAGAGTGGAAATACTAATGGAAGGCCTAAGGCAAGGTGATGCATTTTTGAAGGACATAGAAGAGGGTTTGAAGGCTAATTTGAAAGTGTAAGATTTGTGAAGGTTGCGTATGTGATGAGAATGAAAGGAAAAGAACAACAACAACCTAAAAAGGGCCTTTTGCCGAAATCGGTTTGGCTCGGTGGATGGAGCGTCGGCCTGCGGACTGAAGGGTCCCAGGTTCTATTCCGGTCAAGGGCATGTACTTGGGTTGCGGGCACATCCCCAGTAGGAGATGTGCAGGAGGCAGCTGATCGATGTTTCTCATCGATGTTTCTGACTCTCTGTCTCTCTCCCTTCCTCTCTGTGAAAAATCAATAAAATATATATTTAAAAAAAAAAAAAAAAAGGGCCTTTTACTCTTAAGCAGAGAAGCAAGAGCTTCAGTCTCCAAACCTGGCAGGACGCGGTTGCTGGCTACGTCTTAAGCTGCACCAGGAACTTTAAGACAGGCAAGCATTAAGTCTCACCATTAGCGAGACACCGTAAGTAAAAAGAAAGTTACTTTTGCTTGAGATGTATGCATTGCAGTGTCAGCCAGCATGTCTCTCTCCCGCCTGATTTGCAAGTTGGTTGCTCTGTTTGCGAGAAAGTAAAAGTCTTTAATGTAGCAGTTTAAGGTTTAAGAATAAAGACAACAAGGATTAAGATTCAGTAAAAATAAAAAGTCAAGCCAGTGAATGTTTAAACTAACCTCAGAAAGTTTAAAGCATTGACAATACAAGATATTTTTGAATTTATGACAGACTGCTGACTCCAGGGCGATTCACAGGATTTCTCTCCAGATCACATCCATCTGTTTACCGTCATAGTGCTTCTGAATCTCGCAGAACTCTCATATCCCTAAAATGGTCCCCCTAGACCAGTGGTCGGCAAACTGCGGCTCGCGAGCCACATGCGGCTCTTTGGCCCCTTGAGTGTGGCCACGAAGTTTCAATCACACTGTACGTGTGCGCCTGCACATGGTATTTTGTGGAAGAGCCACACTCAAGGGGCCGCAGTTTGCCGACCACTGCTCTAGACTATCTTTTAGCCAAAGAGGGAAGGGTTTGTCTAATTGCTAACACCTCCTGTTGTTTTTATCTAAACTCTACAGGTCAAATAGAGGAAAGAACACAACGCATTCTACAGAATACGCAGTGGCTCAAGGAGATCAGTCAGGACAGCACAGAGCAATCCATATGGTCCAGCCTACAAGAAGCTCTGCCCCAATTAACCTGGCGTTTACCCCTTTAGGCCCCCTGACACTATTTCTCCGCCTCCTCCTCCTCCTCAGGCCCTGCATTTTGAAATTAGGTGCCAAGTTTATACAAACAAAATTACAAGTCTTAGTCAACCAAACAGTAGGACAGTTTGTCCTTACCCAGGTAAAGGGACTCTACAGACCTATATCCCAGGGAATAATCTGAATTTACTCCTTAGGCATCCATGGCAGCCCCTCCCACACATGAAGCAGACAAAGAGAAACGTCAACCCGATCCCCCTTCTTTTCCTTTATATATACCCTTTAAGACAGGAATGAAAGTGTTAAAGAGACTAAAAAACGGGGCAGAGAAAGACTTGTTGTGCTTAGCAGATATCTTGCAGAAAGCTTGCAGCCTTGAGCACAGCATTGCTCAGATAACCAGAAGACACCTTGCATGAGAGGAACCAAGGAGGTACCAGACCCTTACATCAGCAGAGCAGCTTGCAGCCAGCAAAAATTAATAAAAACCTCTCTCTCCCTGCTCTCTTCGCTGATGCCTTTCTCGGTCTCAGCCCACCTGCACCCAGGTATTGGGAATAAAATCATTTTTGATACATTATATCCTCATGTCATAGGTATGCGACCCCAGCCCACTCCGAACCTTTCAGAAACCACATTTAAAATGGAGTCCGGCCCTGGCAGGTGTGACTCAGTGGTTGAGTGTGGATCCATGCACCAAGAGGTCAATGGTTCAATTCCCAGTCAGGGCACATGCCTGCGTTGCAGGCTTGATCCCCAGTAGGGGGCATGCAGGAGGCAACTGATCAATGATTCTATCTCATTATTGATGATTCTATCCCTCTCTCCCTCTCCCTTCCTCTCGCTCTAAAAATCAACTTTTAAAAAATGGGAAAACCAAGATGGCAGCCTAGGTAAACGCCTGTACTTGCTGCCTTCCACAACCACATCAAAATTACAACTAAAATACAAAATAACCATTATTCAGAAACACCTGAAAGCTGGCTAAAGGAAGTCCTACAACTAGAGAAGTAAAGAAGAAAGTACATCGAGGGCTGGGAGGAGGGGTGGAGGTGTGGAATGGGCTTGTCTGACACCCACGTGGGTCATTTTTTTAATCAGGAGGGAGATCGTGTCTGTGGAGGCCACACGCAAGGAGCAAGGAGTCCTAGCCCCACACCAGAACACCAGCCCAGGGATTCAGAGCTGAGAAGAGAAGTCCCCATTAACTATAGGCTGTAAAAACCAGTGGGGATGGTGGCTGAGTGCACACAGGCTGCTGGAGACCCAGGTGTTCCATTTAAAGGGCCAATGCAAGGATGTACAATCCCTCTGAGCTCCAGCACTGGGTAACTTTGGGGGACCCAGACACATATGGGGAGGACCTGGATTGTCTGGCATTGGGACTGGAACTTGGGGGTGGCTTTTTCCCAGATAGGGATGCTCCCAAGCGTCATTGTTCCTGTGCCAGGACATCACCCCCTCTCCCCTGCCCAATCACAGGGCTGACTGGCAGCCATATATGAATCTCCACCAGCCTGGAGCACACTGTTTGCTCCACCCTGGGGATTCCCTGAGACCCCACCCCATCCAATTTGCAGCCCCACCCAAGCTGTTTGCAGCAGCTTTTCCATATGAATGGCCTGTCCTGGCTCAGGCTGCAGACTTTGCTAAAATCTCTCAAACAAGCTGCAGCTGGTGTCAGCGTGCCCCAAACCTACCAGTAAGGGGCCCAAGACCTGAAACAAGCACCAGCCTGCCTTGATTCACAGTTGGGCCTCACTTGGGCACCTCTGAGCCCAGTAAAAATAGCAGCCATCTGCAGATACTTCTGCAGCTCCTGCCAGGTGGTCTCAGGCAGTGGCTGACTTTGCACCTCCCTGGAGGCCCTAGAGCCAGTGCACCCAGTGGACAGCTTCAGGGCACATTCAAGAAGCAGACTCAGTGAGCACCAAAGTCCCACTGAAGCAAGTCCTGCCCCATAGGGATGTTTCCTGCACAGCAGCTCTCCCACTGTAGTCACAGCTGTTCCTCACGGCCAATGGGCCTGGAGCTCATTCTTCCAATTCCCAGTCACACCAACAGCAATCAAGGCTGAAGTACAAGAAGACTGTGCACACAGCACACATGGGGGCACACCTAGAGTGCCCAGCTAAGGTGACTGGGGAGGCCTAGACACTGGGCCTTATAGGACACCTACTACACAAGGCCATTCTCCCAATTCCAGGAGACATACAGGTCTGCTTAATACATAGAAACAAACACAGGGAAGCAGCCAAAATGCAGAGACAAAGAAACATGTCACAAATAAAAGAAATGGAAGCAAGCAAACTACTGGATACAGTTTAAATCCATGGTTATAAGGTTACTCAAAGATCTTCATGAGACTTTTAAGGATCTTAGTGAGAATGTCAAAGACATGAAAAAGGACCAGTCAGAAATTCAGCATACGCTGACTGAAATAAAGAATAATTTACAAGAATAAATAAATAAATAAATAAATAAGAATAATTTACAGGGATTTAACAGTAGAGTAGAGGATTCCAAGAATAAAATCAATGTTTTTGGAATATGAGGAAGCAAAAATCACCCAATCAGAAGAACAAAAATAAAAAAGAATCCAAAAATATGAAGATAATATAAGGAGCCTCTGGGACAACTTCAAGCATACCAACATTCACATTATTGGGGTGCCAGAAGAAGAAAGGGAGCAAGATATTGAAAACCTATTTGAAGAAATAATGACAGAAAACTTACCCTACCTGGTGAAAGAAATAGACTTACAAGTCAGGAAGTGCAGAGAGCCCCAAACAAGAGGAACCCAAAGAGGCCCACACCAAGACACATCATAATTAAAATGCCAAGGGCTAAAGACAAAGAGAGAATCTTAAAAGCAGCAAGAGAAAAGCAGTTAGTTACCTACAAGGGACTGTCCATACGACTGTCGGCTGATTTCTCA